TTTAGAATCTTCTGTTAGAACAAGGTTTCTTAGACTTTTTTCAGTCACGACCCTTTTTATCACCGAGATTTTTTCGCGACCCCCCAGGACCCCATAATATATACAAAAATTTTGTGGGACCCCATAATTATTGCGCAAATCTGACACACGCATGAGTGAAACTGTCAAGTTTTCCCCTTGTACTGGTCATAAAATTCTAATTTTAAGACATAGAACAATGTGAAAATTTTAAATAACAGAGTCAGTGCGAAGCAAGGGAAATGGACGGTTATATTATAAAAAAATGCAACAAAACGTTTAGTTTTTTTCTTTGTCTGTATGTCTTATCTTTATCTATTTTCAGATACATTGCGTAAAAATATTTGGTAATTGTAAAATTATTATAATAAGTTAAAGAAATATAAAAACTGCTAAAATTTTTTGCGACCCTCTGCTTCAGGTCCCGCGACCCCCTTGGGGGTTACGACTCACAGTTTAAGAAACCCCGGTTTAGAACATAGAGAAAGCTGTGGGTGAAAATAAACAACTTAAAGGTATAACTTAAGGGCAGTAACTTCGAGGTGCATTTTATTATTCTAATATCCTAAACGAGATAAATTTAAGGGTTAGTGATTTTTCAGTTGATGCAGAAATTCTTGAAAAATAGAAAGAACTTCAGTCCATCATATCCACAAAATTCATTCTATCCTATTTTCATACAAATGACAAATCCTTATAGCAATATAAAACAACATTAAATCTATGTTAACTGCATTGCTGATTACAGTCATTAAGTTATTAGTAATAACAATTTTTAATTTCCTTATAAATTTATGTATTAGACAATAGAACAGTATAAAGTCCAAGATCCAGAATCATCGGAACTTTAGGGATCCCTGAAATTGCCAGATTTTAGATCATCAGTTTAAACCTAGCAAAATGTCATGCAGATACAGCAACACTGTGATTTCACTTACCATTTATATATCAGACAGTAGAACGCTACCCCCAACAGGCCCAACAACAGAGGGCAAAAATTACTGAATTTAAAGGAGAACTGAACAGTGAAAATTAGGGATTAAATTTTTAGAATTTAGGTGAGGCAATGGGTAGCAGCATTTAGGCCTTGCAGAGAACCACTCTTAAGGGTCAAAAGTATGATTTTGGCCAACATCAATAAATGCATTCTATTATAGTCTTTATTCTTAAAAATTCTGTGATAAAAAGGAAATTTTTTATTTTATTTTATTCATTGATTTGTCTAGATACTGGATCATTCTGGATATTGGGCATCTGGAATTCAGTCTTTGTACTGTAACTATATAAAAGTACTGTAACTATCACAAAATGATCAATCTAAGGTCATATACGTATTCAGCAAGTGTCTCACTGATATTAATTAATCAATTAAATGCAAGGAAACAAAAGTCATTTTGTCATGTAAAAAGAAAATATGTCTTATGTACAGTCAAAAGTTGTTAATTTGGACACCCATAATCCGGAATGATCTATAATCCGGACCTCAAAGCTACAAAATTTCTGTGCATGCGTCATGCACGTAAGACCTTTACAGCTGCGAATATGCGTGTGCGCATGCGCAGGTATAAGCTAAGCTAAAATTATCTAATTCAGTTAATGTTGCAGACTGCGTTGTTCCTTAATCTTCGAATTGGATCCGGCTTATTATTTTTTGCAGACTGTTAGAGCAATTTTATAAAAGTAAGCTTGAACTTTCGATTATGTCAAATAGAATTTTCGATATATATTTACTAATACGTAAAGGATCTACAAAGCGAAAGTATGTTTTGAAGTCCATTAAACAAAACTGGAATTGCTGCAAAAAATGACCTAACATTCCGAAATCTGTTTATCAATTTCACACTGCTCTGGGTTTACGCTGCTGGGGGGGGGACGTCGCGGCGCGCAATGAATTGGAAGTTGATCTGTCAGCACTATCCTTATCTTCAGGGCGGATGTTTTAATTTTATTTGGCTTATAATTCCTTACTAAATGTAGTATTTCATCTCAATGTATTCCGTCTTTGATATGATTTAAATCAAATTCTTCGTGATTATAATTTGCTTCCGATAAGAAAGTGACACAGAGGTTATTGAAAACGAGAAAATTTCGATTGAAAAATTAGTCAGTATTCTCGACACAGCAATTATAGGACTTGAACAGCGGAACTTTGTAACTAAACACAAAATTATGACTGTTAATAGAATTAAAGAGAAAGTATTATCACATAAAACGAAGCAACTTAAACAACTCACATTGAAAGAAATGTTTAATAAAGTAAATAAAATATTAAGCTTTTTTTTTTTTTTTTTTTGTAAATTTTGATACCCTTTAGATCATACTTGTTCTTTATTTCATAAATTACGGTTTCATATTTTTAATTTTATAATTTCTGCATGCCATCTTACCAGATTTAAACTGATGATCTATAATCCGGAAAAATCGATAATCCGGAATCACCGCCGGAGTCCCGACGAGTTTGGATTAACGACTTTTGACTGTATTTTACATAAGTCTACACTAAAAAAGTCAAACCTAGGTAAAAGAAAACACCAAAAATATAAGCACAGATAACATACTGGGCTTATGAGTGAGTAATAATGAAAGTTACAATTCAAACTTAAGGAATAATTATGATGGGAAGGATGATTTCCATTTTGGCTGGTAAAGAAATTGTCCATGATTCGAAGCAATGTAAAATTTATCAGATATTATTAGAGACAATAATTCATTTTTAATTAATGATATGTTTACTTATACAGTTGAAAAGTCAAATCATTACCATGAGCAAATTCATGGATAAAATTTAAAATACCTAAGAAAACCTTAATTATTAAATTTAGACTTGTATTGAGTTTGAGTGTGTTCCGAGATGCCACCGAGAGATGTGAACGGCTTTTTGAGTAATTAATAAATTTTAGTATACAGTCCATTTTTGAGTTTTTGTGTAAAGTAATTTATTTAATTATGAGTTTACTGAGCTATTGATGGGCCCACTGTTGGTCCGTCGAGCCGGAGTTCAAATTGTGCGTCAAAATCGGAAGACAAGTGTCGTGGAAGGAAAACTAGCGGATTACTCTTAAATAGAAGGTATGTGGCCTTAATTGTAATTGAAAAAGTAGATTCAAAATGTTTAAGAGTGCAAAAAAAGAAGATTATCAGCGTATTGCTGTAGAGCTGAATTTAGACATTTGAGAAGCGAAAACTATATCAGATTTAACTGATATAATTAAAAACAGTGAAAGCTATAAGAAGGATCCTGTATTAGTTGAAGGTATAGCTAATAATAATATCCACGAAAGGAAAAGTGACGAGAGCCGATTGCTCGAACTTGAGAAATTAAAAACAGAACAAGCAAAATCGGAACTAGAACTCGCGAAGTTGCGAGCAGAATCAAAGAGTGAAAACCTCACTTAATATGAGAAAAGAGAAAATGTAGAATCTCTTGACTCTCTTATTAAAAGTATACACACATTAATAACTAAAATTCCAATTAGACCGGAAGGTTGGGATTATTTCTTTTCATCGTTAGAAAGGGCATTCATTTAAAAAAATGTTCCTGTGAAATTTAAATTGGAAATTCTTCTAAATTTGTTGGGAGATAAAGCCACAAATGTTATTACATACATTAAAGACGACGAATTCGGAGATTATTCGAAGGTTAAGGAAATAGTAATAAGAGAATTCAAACCATCCCCCCCAATTTGTTTAGAAAATTTTAGGAAGACATAACGAATGATGAATGAAACTTATGTGCAGTTCACGTCTAGATTAACCACGAGTTGGGATTATTATTTGAAACTGAGAAAGGTAAATGACTTTGAAACATTAAAACAATTAATGGTTTCTGATAAAATATGTCAAACACTTGATAAAGAGGTTATGTGTTTTATAAATGTAAGGGCAAGGAAATTCTTGGTTTAAACCTGTAGAATTGGCGAAGGAGATAGATTTATATTATATATCAAAGGGAAAACCTGTAGTGGATAATTCTAGTTTAAGTAATAAAAATAGTTATCCTAAAAATATGTCAAAAGTTTTTCTAACTGATGTAAAAAATTCGAAATGTATTTTATCATGCAATGAAATTCATCCTTTGTACAAATGCCTTGTTTATAAAAACATTACAGTTAGCGGTAGAGTTGGGCTAGTGAAATCGAAACAGCTATGTTTCAACTGTTTAGGAAATCATAAGGTGATTAATTGTAGCAATAAATTCTCTTGCGGTATTTGCAAAAAGAAACATTACGTGACTCTTCATTTCCCTCGCGAACAAAAAAATAAACAAAGACATAGTTGCGCAGGACGTGAGTCATGAAAATAAAAATATTCCTTCGAATTTGGACGCTTCGGCTCCATCATTTGAACCTCTGCAAGCTAAAACAAGTACTGATCAAAATTTATTATCAACAACGTGCAATCTCAAGTCAACATTCTCCAGATTTCGGTGTTTCACTATAATATATATAATCATAGTGGTCCCATAATTAATTTACCTCTCAGCACAGCCAACATGCACTACGCAGATAGACTGGAATTTCATTCTCTTGTTTGAGTGGCAACCCTGTTAATTCTAATGGACCAAGTGCAAAAAGGCATAATTTCTGATTACTGGTTAATTAAACTATCTCTTGTTCTCTCAAAGTGACAAAATTTAACATTTTCAGGTGGCAGATTTTTACTAGCCATAAATGAAAATTACCTCGTTTCAGTACTAGCCAGTTAAGTTAAAACTTATGTCTTAAATTAAAACTTATGGCAGATATTTTTTTTATTATTAATCATAATAATCTGCACAAACATTGGAAATAAGGAATGAAATATGACAAAATAGTAAATAAATGCAAAAGATCACTCATGACCAGATGGAAGTGTGGTCATATTACATAGAAGATAAAATACTTTCATCTTATGTATTCAGTTAAAAATATTTATGAGCAAAATATGGAAAGCTTTCAAAATATAGGCAAATTAACAACTGTTATAATAATAAATTACACTTACAATAAAGTGTACACCTATTGTGGGTGTTCCATTTGCATTCTCTGTTGGAAGGCTACAGTTTCTTCAAAAACAAGCTCCTTTAACCTCTCTTTGGGTAAATCATCTAGTTCCATTTCAAACTTGAAGGGCTCCTCTGCAACAGGCTTTATAAACAGAAGCATTAATCACATGTTCATTTAATGAATACACACAAAAAGACAAAAATTTTACAGTAAAACCTGTTTTGAGAACCATCTTTCTGAGATGTATATATCTGAAAATAATCCCAATTTTTGAAAGTATAAGTAGTAGTACTAAATATCGCAGAGTCACGGTCTCTAAATCACTCCAACAAAAACTGTCTAGAATTGTGAGTGGTTTACCTTGAGACGCTTTCACTGTATACAAAAATTAAAACGTTAGCAAATGAAAGAATGTAAAGAGAAAATTTATTTTGGCAAACAACTCAAGCACTGGCTACCTGTCCCAGAAAAGGTTATATTAGATTACTTGGAAACGGCAAAGCCGACAAGAGCTGTCTGCCTAAGGGAAAGGATACTCTCGTGGAGGGCTTTCTAAGGGAAACTGGTTCATATTCATGCTAAAACTATGAAAGCCAGTTATGCAGGCGGCCATGTATTTGACATCAAACTCGAATGAACTACCAGTATTCAGAAGTCTAACTGATTGACTACAGGTGCAACATCTTCCAGAAAAAGTGTTCTCTAACAGAAACTAGGAAAGAAATTAACTGCTTGAAAAGAAACTAGTTATATTCACTATATTGAAAGTCTTGGTGACTTCTTGCTTATTTCTTGGGGTATAAATGCTGATCAACTGGCTCCCTGAAATAAAGAGTGGTAACTCTAGAACTAGTTTGACAGAAGCAACAAAATAAAAGGGAGTTGCCACTCTATTTCAGAGTATCAAATGGTCAGTATTGCACCCCAAGAAATAACCAAGGAACTGCCAATTACTTTCAACCTAACATATTCACATTAAGCATCAGAAAATCTACAATTCCTTACAGTTAAGCTACAACATTCAGTTATAAGGAAATCAAACTCAGGATAAATTACCTGCATTCAGTAAAAACTTTTGTATTAATAAGATGTATATTATAAAAACTTCAGAAAAAATCACCCTTAACCTCTTCACTCCTAAGAGTGAAAGAATGAAGTTCAAGAGAGTGCCTATAACCTTGTAGTGCTAAACCTCACTCTGTATCCGAGCACATTTTGCAGTCAGATCCTTAGACACAACACGGAAAAATAATTCCTATAAAAATACTTGCAGTCTTGCACACATGATTTAAATATTATAATAAAAATCCTAATACAAAACTACATAAATAAATAATTAAAAATAAGTTAATGTTTAATACCTATAGCACAGATATAAATGTATAAATATAATCAATATTTAAAATATTTTCATCAACAATGAAGTAAAAATCTTAAAACATTGATACAATTTATGTGTATTTAAAATTTTAAATAAAACGTTCTATTTCAAAGTAGCAAGAAAAATATGGTAGGCCACCACCGACACTCCACTCCCATATCACTTATAATAGAGCCAAGGCGGGAAAATGAAGTCCATCATGTATGATATGTTCACAGAGAGAAGGTTAAAGATATCCCAATGTGTAAAGCAAAGTTTCAGTAACTTTGTGAAATAATAGCCTTAAATAAACCAATTTTTATTAAAAACATCAACTGTTAGACACTTGCATATGTTAAAAATAAAACATGCTAAAATAATAATCAAATTGTTCAGCTTCAATCAAATGTTGGCAATGATGGCCATAACATTTTTATATTTACATTGAGGTTACAATTCTTTATACTACACAACAAAAATAAACCAAGCTTAAAACTGTCAGTTACCAGGTAATAGGAACATCATTAATTATCTATTAAAATGAAAAATTATCTAACAAAACCTCTAGTTTTAGAAAATCTAGCATTTAACAGCAAGGGCTATTAATTTAGTTTTGATATTTTGCATTGGTTCACTTATAAAAGCCTGAATCACTTTTCATATTGTTGCCACCAAACATTACAGACCTGAATTATATTTAAAGAAATGAAATAATGAAGGATCTGCATGAATATACACTCACGTTTGTGAAAATTGCAACACCAAGAAGGAATCGTCATAATTGAATGCAATTTAATACACAGTTGAGTGGTAGTGGTACAAATAAATGATTAAATGTTCAAAGCAAACAAACAAGAACAAGAGATCAGAATCAGTATTTTGTGTGGCCACCACGCGCCGCAATAAGTGCTGCTACACGACGTGGCATGGAGTCAAACAAAGTTTGAATGTCTGACTGAGGAAGAGCATTCCATATCGTTTGTACGCGTACCCAAAGTTCGTCTGAAGACGCAACAGGATGAGGATCACGAGCAAGACGCCGACCAATGACATCCCACACATGTTCAGTTGGCGACATATCCGGGGAACACGCAGGCCAAGAAAGAAGCTGTACCTGCTGCGCTGCAAAGAAGGATTTAACAATCCGAGCAGTATGAGGGCGGGCATTGTCCTGTTGAAATACAGCGCCTGGCAAAGCTTTGAAGGAAGGGAACAGCTTCGGGCTGTAGAACTTCACGGATATACCGGTTGCTGTCAGATTGCCCACAATTCGTAGCAATTGAGATCGTCTATGATATGTTATGGCCCCCAGACCATAACTCCGGGTGTTCGTCCACTGTGGCATTCGATAATGCACTCCGGAAGGTGGTGTTCACCGGCATAGCGTCTGACACGAATGCGGCCATCATGGTACCACAAATTAAAGCGGGATTCGTCAGAAAACACGACATGCTGCCAATCAGCACGCCAGTCTCTATGCTGATTGGCCCATTGTAGCCGCAGGCGGCGACGGTCGTGCGTTAGGGGGATCCTGTATAAAGGAGTCCGTGCGCGCAGTCCACACTGCAGCAGACGTCTACGAATTGATGAAGCACACAATGAAACACCTGTAGCTATTGACCACAGTGCTGCCAATTGTCTAGAGGAAGCTGTACGGTCCGTCCGCGCCATGCGGACCAGGTGTGTATCATCGCGAGCTGACGTCACATTTCGGGGTCCACTCCCGGATTTCCGAGTTGTCCGACACTCGTCCGTCCACTGCTTCCAAACGCGCATCACTGTGCTGCTGTTACGCTGCACACGAGAGGCCACTGCACGATACGACAATCCAGCTTCACGAAGGCCGATGATTCTCCCTCGTTCAAACTCTGTAAGTTGTTCAAATCTCGCTCTCTTTCGTCGACGAGGCATAAGTACAGATTGAGTTAACGTTTACCACTAGCAGATAACCACCGATAACCATACACGCCTCGCTACAGCCGTCTATTTATTCGGATCCATCAGCCGTTCAGAGGGCGCTGCTCAGCATACGCATGCGCTACGGATTTGCAATTCTAATCATTTGCATATCATGCGCTACTTTGCATTTCCTGAAAATTTCAGCTCACTCGCGTAAGTCCTTCATGGTGTTGCAATTTTCACAAACGTGAGTGTATGTTAATTTTTTGCATTGTGAAAAACAATGGCACTTAGAGATCAGATTTTTAATAACATAGTCCTCCACTCGAATATGGGTATCTGGATTGTTTATATCCACTTGAATATGGAAAATTTGGATCTATTTCATATTTTGTAAAACTTTAATGTGTTTTTGATCAACGAACTCAATGATTTCAAAGTGTTCCATTAACACATTGTGTGCATCTTCAAGCATGAATACTTTACGTACGAGGCTTCTTTACATTTCTTATTGGTATTATGTTGGTAGCATAGCAATGCAAAGACGTTAGAATGTCTAATGGTGTTTTGCATCGAATGACTTTGAATGTCTCTATCACTTTCAAAATCTCCTGTGAAACCCACACCCCTTTGGGCATAATATAAAATCTGAAGGCTTCAGATTCCCCCCACCTTAAATTGTATTATTTTAACAAAAATATTAAACTTTTATTAAAAAAAAAGCATGCTATACCTCATCATCTGGGTCATAATATTCTGTGAAGTATGGATGCCCTAGTGCATCTTCAACTGTAACTCTCTTATGAGGGTTGAAAGTTAACATCTTATCTAGCAAATCCAAAGCTAAAAAACAAAAATAAACTTTAGAAACCGACACTTTTAACTGACATATTAAAAAAAAATCAAGTTGCCATTTACTTGTATGGAGACTAAATTATGTTTAATATTTTAATTAAGTTTAGAATGAATCTTGTATCCAAAAAGATGAAAAGTCTATTAACGGCAGCTGATCAATATTTCCATGTTAGCATAATACATCAAGAAATAATTTCAAGTACAATCTGATATTAGCATCTAAAATACTTTTTGATTAAAATTCAATACTAAAAACTTTTAAATTAAAGATAAATAAATGAGATGTCTTCCTGCAATTCAGTGTGCATTTATAATATTGCTAGAATCACTAAGATATGTCACAAATGATTTAAAATGTGTTTCTTCACTTGTATGATCTTTGTTTTTTAGAACAGGGCAAATTTCTGCTTCTGAATATTTAAAGTTCAAAATTATTCCACAAAGGAAATTTGGTTGAAATTAAACAGTAATATTTTCTACAAGTGACATACATACATAGAATTAACAACGGGTGACTAGTACTTTGTATTTAAGAGCTTTTGGCTTCTGTACTTCTCAAGAGAAGGAATATCCTGTGTTCCTCTTGATTTGTCTAGAAATTAATAGGTATTATTACATACAGAATGTCCTAGAATAAAATGCCAAATGAAGGCAATGCATTCTGCAGCCAAATATAAGCAAATATCCTACAAACACACATAATTTACATTATATCAGATGTTAAACATCAGTGACAATTGGAAATAAATACTAATTTAACACAAAGAACTTCCCAAAATAAATGCTCATTTGGCTGACAGTCCGATCAATTAAAACTTTCTAAAAGAAAATTTATATAAACAGAAAGAATTTTGAATATTATGAAGAAATGCTCAGAAGCTGAAGTGCAATCTAAACTGAACAATACACTGACAAGCCAAAACATAATGACCATCCCCACATTTTTCAGTGACTCGTCTGGATGATGTGGAGGGCATGTGAATAAGTGGAAATGGTATTTAACTGCTGCTGGAGAAAAAAGGAATCATTCTTGCATTTACTTTTATAAGTGATAGGAAAGGCTGCTGATCTAAGCGAATTTGACAGAAGACAGATTATAAACTGCACTGATTTTTTAGGATTATGAATATTTCCAATGATCCACATTTCTTTGCATTCAGTAAAATGGCTTAGATACCCTGCTTGTAGCTTGTAATCAATCAGATTGGGTTTACGATATTTTGAAAATATATTTTGAATGGTAGATTTGCTTACATTCAAGAATTTGCTTTTTTTACTCTCAGATTTTCCTTACTTTCAATAAATATTATATGTTTTTCTCAAATCAAAAGAAATGGCAGAATATTTTTGATTATATTAATAATATAGCACCTCACTTTTTTCTTTTCCAGGTTTAAAATCTTCCTTCCAGACATTCACAAGAAAAATCTACCAAAATAATTTCCTTATCCTGCTTTTTACCTCAATGCCCCAATACTTTTCTTAGATTACTTTTGTATTTAAAGTAAAAAGCATTTAAAACTTTTCAATTATTAGCTTCAGTACTCTTTTGTGTCACTGTATATATTTGATTGCATAAAAAGAGACTGTACGAATGGGGAAGTTATAATTTATGCATCAAAAGATTAAAAAAAGTACAAAACATTTTTATTTCCTTTAATTAAAATTTTCAAGTCAGTGAATCTGTGCTGATTAAAGACAAACTATCTGAAGTATTTCTGAAAATGCTTTTCTCCTTAGCGCAGTACATTCAGTAACTAATTCAACTATTTAAAAATGCTTACACCTGAGAAGTTTCTTATCTCATATAATTGGCCATGTGATTAAAATTTCATACGAAAAACATTATTTCATCTTGATTAATCATAAAAATTTAATATTTATTATCATCTTTCTTTTAATTTGTTATTAAATTACATGTATTTAATACAGATTTCATTTTCTTGTCATTTTCCTCTTACAAATGAAATTTGCATCTCAGTTCCTCAAGATCCTGTTACTTATTCTGTACATAGATAATTTTGGTGAAATTGTTGTATTTCTTTCATATAATGTAATATGAAACTCTTAAGGAGCGAAGCTTGCCAGAAAAGTAAGAATACAAGGGCAAGTCTATTTAATATTGAGTAAATAACTATCTTGTTAAATTGGTGAGATATCACCCAGCTGGCATGGTTTTGGGGACAAATTTTTGTCCCAAAATTTGGCAATCGTCAAAAGTCACTAAGCTTAGCAAGATTTTGGTCTAGCCTCTGTATCATCGCGATAGGTATTGTAATTAAATACATAATGGATGTTCTGTGTAGCTGTAACTGTAATTTGGCCCTTATATGCCTCTCTTAATAATTTCGAGAAGCAGAAAGCACTAGAAATATCTTGGTGGTCGAGTGAAAACTATATAAAGCCAGAGAGAGCATCTGGCCTGAGTAGTAGTTGTTGTGAGCTGTTAGTTCCAAGCGACTTCGGAGTATTAAAAGCTTCGCCTTTTAGATATGCTTTGCATTGCATTTAAATTCTTAGTAGTTTGAAGTGTAACTACTGATTGTACTCTGTGCAGTATGCAAAGTGTGTGTGTGTGTGTGTACTTAATTATGGCAAAGCTCACTAGGGCTATCTGCCTAAGGGGGAGGGATGCCTTCGTGGAGGACTTTCTAAGGAAAACTGGCTCGTATACACGTTACACATTGGGAAAACCATGAAAACACCCATGCAGCCAGCCCGTTCGCGGGATTCGAACCTCGGACCGAACTACCAGTGTTCAGCGACGTTATCGCTCGGCCGCTGGTGGGCCGCAGTATGCAAAGAGTTATGAAAATTGTTATTTTTGTAGAAAGTTCCAGAACTCTGAAAATTTGTAACAACCTTATTCCAGATATAATCTCCTTGAATATTTACAATATTCCTTGATACAGGTGTTTAATATACGAGGCACAAAAGATAAGCCCTAAAACCCCATCAAAGAGTTCAGAAAAAATAAATTTTTCACTGCATGCCAAAATTTTTCAAAAGATCTTCAGTTGGCAAAATGAATTTCCTGAAAATTTTCCACATCCATAAAAATCCTTCTATTCTAGCTAATGATCCAAATTCTAACTTGTACTTAACTCTTTAAAGAAATTTATGGTTTGCAGCTTCTCATTTTCTCATCTACTAACAGATAGCATTAAGACTTTCACTTCTTATCATTTGATCAGAAAACTCTCGAACTGCATTCACAATGAAGCACATTTTGTCTCATGTTGGCATTTCCAACAGAAGGCAGTGGTTTCTTTGTTCTTTGAAACTACAGTGCACACTTAATTACACTTTGAACACTTGTACTGCATTAATTCCTGTTGATAATTTTTGGTTTCTCTGGCATTTAAAGTCAAATCCTACTAGAGTATTTTCCTGGATATAAGAAAAAAACTTTTTGATTCCGTCCACTATCCTAAACACTTAATGTTACTTTACATCTATAATGAATTTTTAAAGACATGAAAATTGTACATAACAAATTTTATGGATATCTGAAAATTTTTTTTTAAAAAAATTTCTGGAAAATTAAACACCTTTAAGAATCATCCATGTTTAAATGTTTAACTTCTACACACGTTAGAATACCAGAAGATACTTTTACATTACTGTTCTTTTTATTCTCCCTTCCATATTTCTCTGTGTTCTAAACATGGGTTATGTAAGGTACGTACATTACCAACTCTTTGGAAAACCAGGACACAAAGCAAAGTAAGTAAACTATATAAAGTTTTAATTGTGATGCTGTCATTGATAGATAAATTATTGGTAAAAAGTTTACTTTATATAAGAATTGTCGACAATTTTTACAAAGATGTTGGACACAGAAGGGATGGAAGAAAGGTTCAGGTCCAATAACTCTTGATGGACTGACTTTCCTAGTATGACATTTCAAAGAAACGGGAAGCTTGTGTCATCGTTGTGGTGCACCAAGTTTATCAGAGATCCATACTTTTGATGTGGCTTTGTAGATATATACTCTCAGGGAACAATCAATGAGTGTAGTAAGAAGTGCACAAAACACAGGTATACTGAAGACATTGGTATTCCGCATTCCTCACAGTGCTTTAAAATTGTACCCCTACAAGTTACAATCAGTGCACCAGCTCTTGCCAAATGACAAAGCTAAGCAATATGAATTTGCAAACTGGGCTTTGTCGAAAATCGATGACAATCCTTGATTTCTCAATATCTTGTGGACAGAAGAAGCTCATTTGTCATTGGAACAATCAACACCCATAACTGTAGAATCTGGGCAAAGGAGGATCCATGTGCCTTTATTTAGGAGCCACTACATTCATCATGCTTAACTGTTTGATGTGGTTTCACTGCATCCATTACTGCAGGTCTTTCTTCTTTGAAGAATACTGCGCAAAAGCAGGCTGGAAGACCTGCTCAGTTACTGGAAAATTCTACTTGCAGCTACTGCAAAAGAAAGTGATACTGCACATACTGGAACATAATGTGCTTCATGCAGTGATGGTCATGCTAGAACAAGTCACCTCATACCACAACCCAAGTGAAGATGTTCTTAAGAACCTTCACTGAACAGTGACTAATTACCCATCACTATAGAAATAAGTGGCTTTCTCACTCACTGGACTTAAAACCAATTGATTTTGGACTTTGAGGTTACCTCAATTCCATAATGTACCATAATAGCCCACTTTCTTTGGTACAGATGCCATTTGATATGAAATCTTTTGCATTTGCTGCAGTTAATGGGGTTGTCACCCATTTGCAAACTGTAATTTTTGCTGATGGCAGACACACAGAATAAGAGTGATATGCTTGCAAACATTTACCTGCATGCAAATATAGTTTGCCCTGGAAATGTGGGATTTCCTCTCATAGAGCATTTTTTTTTTTTTTTTTTTTTAATTTGGGAGATAAGATAATGCTAATCAATCTTTTCCTGCAATTCATTAATAAATTTTTACATTATTTTCTGTAATCACCTGATATTTTTCATCATCAGATTAGATAACGCAAACCTAATTTTAAGCAAGTTTACAGTTCATTATGGTGGTATTTAACTGCAATTCATTTGGAGTGTTCTTTTGTAGTACCTGAACATGTCTGGCTGCATGAAGATTGGTGTACAAAATACTTCTATCAGCTATAATATATGAAATGTGACTATAAACTGAAGTCTCATGGATTACAATATCCCAAAGATGACATCCAAAGTCTACTCTATAGAATATCCAAGAACATAATAGCAATTATTAGTTCCCATAGTGATAATATGCAACAATCTCAGCACATTCTAAGCATTCAAACTCCTTGAAATTTTGGTTCCTTCATTCATGTATTATACAGCGGTAAATATAAAATAAAAATGATTTCATTATCTTTTGTCCTTCTAGGAGTTGCAATTTTAGCAGTCAGAAGTTTCGGACATATATATTTCACTTTATAAGAAATATCAGGATATACAATTAAAATTTGGTACACAGTACAATTTTTTTTCCAATTCATAACACATAAAATCAAAACAATCTTTATATGCTCATAGCACTAACAATATGAAAATATGATCACTGAAACTAGCAAGTCAACTATGACCTCGTCTGTTATTTTTAAGTATGCCAAAAATACAGCAATTCTAGTATTGATAGATTACAGAAAACTAACCTCAGATTACATAAACATGTAATAAACTATTATTTACTAACCTTGGACATTAGCATTTGGATAAAGACTTGTCCATGGAACCTTGGGTTTCCTAGGTAAAGACTGTAGATATGTTCGAGCCTAAAGAAAGCAGATATAAAAAAAAAAAATATTTAAGAACTCTGATACAGATTTATTGCTTAATTTTAAAAGTATCATTAAAAGACACTATCATATGGAACACCTGTCAACTTTCCATTAGTAAAAATTGCAAGATTTTTGAAAAAATTAGGTAAAGAAAAGCATAAAATGTATTTTCCACAGAAAGACATATCTAAACATTTCAAAAACTGCACTGGAAAAAAACACTTAAAAAATTAGACAAAATTAATTTTAACATAGATACAGCAGCTTTAAGCTTTTGCTAAAAGTTAATTCCAAAATTTTGCTCTATCAAGTTTATTATCATAATCAAATACCAGAATTAAGGTACCCAAAAAAATCAAAAGAATTAGATTGGATTATTCAATTATGGCAAAGCACACGAGGGCTATCTGCCTGAAGGGACGGATGCCTTCGTGGAGGACTTTCTGAGAGAAACTGGCTCATACACACGTTACACATGGGGAAACCACGAAAGCGTCCATGTAGACAGCCCGTTCGTGGGATTCGAACCTCTGACCGAACTACCAGTGTTCAGCGTCTTTACCGCTCGGCCGCTGGTGGGCCCAAAAGAATGATAAAAGTATTTTAAAACATGACAGATGGAAATAAATTTTAACTATTATAGTTAAGCTGTAAAAGGTAGCAGATATACAACACATAGAAACACATTTCAAGCTGGAATTTTCTTTTAAGAATGTGATAACTACACATAAAAGAAAAATTAAACATGTACTCTGTTGAAACTAAGAAAATACATAAATCGATATGTCAAAAGCACAGTACAATCTTTACTACATTACTATATAAAACTAAGTAAAAACTCACAATGTGATATTCCATTACAAACATCTTAACGTACAATAATTCACATGAAAATGAATGCCAAATCTATTTTACACTACTCGTATCCATTTTATTTTGACATGAGTATTATTTAGGTTAAATTTCTAGGGACAGGATAAAAGTCAACACTATAACATGATTTTCACACATTTCTTTACATGGAAATTAAGAACTTTTAAGGATTTTCTATGAAAAAAATTAAGGACCTTCAGTAAAAAAAAAATGAAAAAATTATCTACACAACTGCTTCCACTCCTTGTACTACCATTCTAAGAATAAAACAAAAACATGTAGAATGCATTATTATTAAATACGGTACTAAATCCGAGATTCAGACTCATCAGGACTTTGGCGATTCCAGATTTAGGATTTTTTCGGATACTAGATCATCAGTTTAAATCTAGTAACATGCAGAAATTATAAAATTAAAAACATGAAATTGCAATTCATTTATGATCTAAAGAGTATCAAAATTTACAAAAAAAAAAAAAAAAAGCTTAATATTTATTTGTTTACTTTATTAAACCTTTTTTTTCATGTAAGTTGTTTAAGTTGCTTCGTTTTTTGTGCTAATACTATCTCTTTAATTCTATACACAGACATGATTTTTTGTTCAGTTACAAAGTTCCATTGTTCAAGTTCTGTAATTTCTGTGATGAGAATCCAGACCAACTTGTCAATCAAAATTTTTTAACTTTCAATAACCTCTCTTACTTTCCTTCACTATCGATAGCGGTGTTTTCTAGATCTACAGTCATACTAGAGACTTTGCTGCTTGATGATTTATTGATGATTGGGGTATTAACATCGCAATGAAAAACTTCTGTTATACCATCTTCAGTTATTACTGCTTCTCCACATTTCTTTACAAAATCCATTAAATGGAAAATTTCACCTTTTGTGATATCTGAAAACTTTCAATTTCATAGATATCATCATCATCCTCCCCATGAAATACGGTAGCTGGCCATAAAATTATGCCAAGCATTTTTAAAAGTATCTGAAGATGCATCCTCCCACAACCTTACGATGCTCCACACAGCAGATTTTATGCTAAAATATTTCAAAAATTCTTGAAATAAGTCTTGCCATTACTCAAATTTAACATGAATTTTAAAAATGCTACTTTATATTTGCATTTCAGTGCACATACTATTCTGATATCCATAGATGTAATGATGGAATGGGTCCATAGGAAAATTTGGAGGAAAGAATAATATGGATACACTATCTTTCACTAAAACTAAGTGCGAGCCGAGAGTGTCTACAGTCAGAACAATTTTTGCATCAGGTAGACCAACCGAATTTAAATGTTGCCAAGCCTCGGGTATGAAATGATTTTCAAACCAATCATTCATGCTCTTATCTGCATGATATACAATGGGGAAAATCTTTACTCCTTTATATACTGGAGGTCATGTATTTTTCCCAATTATGAAAAGTTTACACTTTGCATTCCTGCAGCATTTACGCATGCTAAAATTGTTAGTCTCGCTTTGTAACCTTTGATGGCAGTTGGAGCCTTTTCTGTAGAGGTTGCCAAAATATTTTGCGGTACACATTGCCAGAAGAGACTAGTTTCATCAGTGTTGTAAATTTGTTCTGGAGATAACTTTCACTATTAATGAGTTCAATGAATTCATCTGCAAAAAGTTAAGCTTTTTACCTGAAAATTTTTTAATTGCTTTATATCACGGCTATTTTTAAGTTTGGTTAACCAACCTGTTGAATATGTGCACTCAGTTTTTAAGTTCATTTCTTCATACTGCTGCAGCTCCAGAATTAGAAACTCTTTTTGACATAATCGAAAGTGCAAACTTTTATTTTCATTAAATTGCTGTAATAATAACAGCTTTCAAAAACAACAAGCTTGATCAAATTAGAAAGTTTAGGAAAGGTGCAGTCTGCTATATTAACTGAAATTCCTTGGAATCGGTAAAGCAAAATTTTAGCCTAGCTTAATAGCGTTCGCTGTACATTACTGGCTATGCATCATGAGATTTTAGATGAAAGACAAGTTGTTCTGTTAAATTTTATCTTGCTTCTGTTGTGCACTGTGACTATTAAGCCCAATTTGTATTAGTTTCGTTATTTTTATACTTATATCTATTTTTTGCACATGCTTAAGGCCATGTCCTGAATAAATAAATTCTCACATATAAATATCTCACACGCACTTATCAAAAGGCGATACTAGATAACTTACTGCCTAATGCAGTCTCTGCAGGTTCTAAATTCTTATACAAGCACCTCCCCAAATTCTAAATTTTTGCTGTCTCTAAATTCTGAATCTTAATGCTTTCCCTAAATTAAAAAAAAAATTGTCATCCCTTAACTTTGTTGCTCTGTGCTTCTCTAAATTCCAAAAATTTTGTTTTCCCTAAATTCTGCTGCCCAGTACGACTATATGAGCTCTGGCGCCGGTTCTGGGTTCATACGAATAAACAAATTGGTTATTCTTAATTCAAATAGCACTAAATGCAATCTTTTGGCCTATGGGTATCCATCAACAAAAGTTATTTTTTACACATGGAAAGAAATTTTTGTTAAATTTTCCCTCATCAACATTTAACTTAAATCCATAATCACCGCTAAGTGTAATGTCAACATAAAAGGTTACCATACTTTTTGTTATTCAATAACTAATATAAAAAAAATATTTAGGCTTCACTGCATAAGTCATTACTCAAGGTATCATGTGATGATAAACATGAGGTGACGAAAGCAAAAGATAACAAATAATGATTTGCCAGGTTTGTTTCAGGGATATAACATATTAGTAAGTGTAAAATCAACAATGTTTCAGTTTAAAATGTATGCCAAGCAGATGCACAGCTACAGAGTGAAATTATTGATCACACAAATTAATGCCAAGATGATTGATTGTTTCTTCAATAATGAGGTATTTTTATTTAGTGCCAAAGTGAAATTAAAAATTACGACTCTACACGTGTTTTATTATGGGAAGGGAGAAATCAAATGCATAAAGCATATTAAGAAAAATGTTGCTGGCAGCTTTGAGGTCCAGATTTTATATCATTCCAGATACTGGATGTCAGGAACTTGGACTTCGTACTGTACAATCCGATACTTAAACTAGAAAAACATGTCTGAAACAGTGCTATGTTGGCTTGGCAATGAGGGTAATGATCATAGGAGAGGCTGTGGGCTGACAGCTTCCTAGCTCCATTCCATGGGATGTTCTTCATCTGAGAGAGCTACTTGCTTCTCATGGGTAAAATTTAGTCATAACCTACGCAAGAGTAATGAGATGGCTAAACGACTGGAGTTTTAACTATTCCCAATGGAACTTATGTGTATTTTAACTACAGAAGGCAGTATTCTTTTGAACTAATTTTGGTTTTCGATATCACACTAAATTACTGTATTTGTAGAAACCTTCCTCTGTTGTTAAATTTAATTTTCTTTGATGATGTGAGAATAAAGGCTTTATGCCTAAGTGCCATATAAAAGAACCTTCCTTTCCAATCTTATTGAATGCATTAAATTGCAAGTGTTTGGCCATTTTAAATAACAGTTTGAAAAATAAAACTAACTCTCTATAACGTTGCTCGTAAACATTAAATTACATATATGGTTTTTTCAAACACTTGTATTTTGCGCATATAACTGCGAAATGTTTAAAGAAAACTTGAACGAACAATTTCCCCCCCTCAAAGAAGCATTATTTGAGTCACAATCTAAGGATTTTGCAGCTTGAAATAACAGATTATTACACTGGGTTTAAATACATATTAAAACAATCATATATTTAAAAGATACAAATATCCATAATACTACAAAATATATGTGCCCTTTTAAACAAATGTTTTTAAATATTTTAAATTATTTAGATTACTTCCTTTTCTTTCACTACATTTCTACGTTCATTTCCTTTAACAAATCACATTAGCCTCCATATCACTTGCTTCAGTACATATTAATTTGTTAATATCTTCAATAATATTCCTTTGGAGAAGAATTTCCTTTTGTTTTATACAATCATTTTCTTTCTCAATGAGATTCTCCTGGTTGCTTGTAATCAAGGTCAATGTTATGACTCGTAATGTTAAACAAAATTTTTACAATCATTCGTTTGGCACATGTGGAAATAAGTGGAAAGAAGGTGCTTC